GGCCCCTGCAGGGGGCGGGAGGGGGGAGGGGGGGGGACGCCCGGGGAAGGAGAGACACACGAGGGGCCAAGGAGGCCCGCGAGGGTGGGCGCGGGCCACACCGGTGGAGCTCGACGACGAGATGCGCCCTCCTGGCTCCCCCCCTCGCCGGCCGAGGGGGTGCAGCATGGATCGCCCCGAAAGGGCATATCCCCGCGCGCCGGCAGGAACGACGCTTGGCGGAGTGAAGCCTCGCCGCTGCGATGGGCTTGGAGAGAGAGAGAGAGAGAGAGCGAGAGAGCGAGAGCACGGCGCGCGAGTGGCTCTCTCTGGCGGGGAGGAAAAAGAGAAGCTGCCTCGAACCAGGATTGAACTGGTGACCTTGTGATCTTCAGTCACACGCTCTCCCAACTGAGCTATCGAGGCATGAAAGCGGGACACCGGAGGACGTACTTGGCGTTTCGGCAAAGGGGGCGGGGGGCCCGGGCCGCGCGGCCGAGGGTGTCGTCCGTGCTGTGGGCACGCACAGCGGGGGCGGGGCGTTTTTCGCCCTCTTTCATCCGTGTAGCCCCCCCTCCCCCACCCCATGTGCATGCCCCGGCAGGCGCCTGTCCCGACCGGGAGGCCGGGACAAAAAGTCTTGCGCACACACACTGTCCCACCGGCAAGGGGCGCGACCGGTCCCGGAAACCGGAAAGAGCGCAAAAGTAGCAAAAGAATGGGGGAGATCCGGGAATCGAACTCGGGACCTCTCGCACCCGAAGCGAGAATCATACCACTAGACTAATCTCCCACCGCTGGAGGAGGGGCACCACGATGTTGTATTGATACCTTCGGCTGGGGACGCGGGTCGTGTGACCAGCCGCCCACCCCGGCGCATGATCTTCCCGGTTAAATGGGCATTGTGCGCAGCGTCCGTCAACCAACCATAGCTCAATTGGTAGAGCATCAGACTGTAGTGGTAAAAAGCAATTATCTGAGGGTCGCTGGTTCGATTCCGGCTGGTTGGATGTCCTTTTGCGCGTGCGCCCGCGAGTTAACTGGGCTCCCTCTTCGGGCATTCCTGGATCACACCATTTCGGGTGTGACACCCCGGTTGTACCCTCTCTAATCGCAGATTCCGGCCCCGCGGCGCTGGCGCTCCAAGACGACAGCGTCCCCCGACGGCAGGGGGCAGCGGGGGCGATCACCCGGGGGGGCGGCGGCGGCCCACACGACACATGGGCGCGGCCTGCGCACATGGGGGGGGGGGGGGGCGGCGCGGGGGGCAGGGGAGTGCGCTGAACGCCGCAAGAGCGGGGAGGGGGGGAGCTCGGCCCGACGCGGGGTCCGCCTGCCGGCAACACCTCTGGCCATGATGTTGTCTGGCCGCCTTTTGCGTGTGTGCATATGCCGAGGCAGACAAGTCCGGCGGCCGGGGGGGGGGGGACGAGACATGCAAGAGGGGCTTGAGAAGTGTCCGGAAGAGGCGGCGACCACAGGTGCGGCCAGCAAGGACTCTCGCGAAGCGGCCGACCTGGCAGCCACCCCCACACAAGCAGGCCGAAATATCGCCACGGGTCCTCCCCCCCCCCCCCCCCCCCCGGAGGGACCTCCGGCCCGGAGTCAGGGGGCATGGCCCGTTCACGCATCGGGCGCCGGCGCGCGGATTCCAGGTGACGCGGGAATCTGGTGGATTTCTCGACGTGCCGAGGGGGTGCTCGCAGGTTCGCTCGTCTTCTCTCGAAGCCGGCGGCCATGGCCGCGGGGGGCAGGAAACCCGGGGAGGCGGGCGCCGGGGGCGCAGGAAGGAAGGGCCGCCCGCGCCGCCCCATCCCGCGCGAACCCGGCGCGGGGGGCCTCTCACACGCCCATCGGGCAGCGGCCATCCCGGGGGGGATGCGGCCAATCCCCAGCGCGAAAAGGACACCGCCCGGGGGCGGGCGGGCCAGGGCCGACCAGCACCCCCGGCCGGCGAGAGGGCCCGGAGCAGCAGCAGCAGCAGCAGCATTGTTGTTGTTGTTGTTTTCCCCCCCCCCCCTCCCTCCGTCGTCCAACTTGGTGGGCGGGGTCCGGCACGCGGGATTCCGACCGCCTCGCGCCGGTCCCCGACGAGAGTGGGGCAAGGCCGGGTCCAGTGTGTGTTGGCCGCGTCCTCGGGCACACTCATGGCATATTAAATATGACTCAATGTGGCCCGCGCACTCCCGTTGCCCGAGGAAAGATCGCCGGGCCCCCTCCCTTGCGGGGACCGCCCGGCCCCGGATGCCGAGGTGCCCCCCCGCCGGCCGGCCAGCCCCCTGGTTGCTTTCTGGGGTGTCACCCGGTGGCGGACGTCCTCCAACGGTGCGCGGGGGTTGAGGACGCCGAGGGAGCTCCCCGCCCGGGGAGAGCCAGGTGCGTGTGTGTGTGTGTGTGTGCCTGCGGGTGCCGGAGGCGTGCCCGCGCGCGCATCGATTGCTCCCCGAACTCGCCCCCTGGCGCGCACATGGCCCCCACTGCGGGCCCGCCCCCCAAAATGGGGCCACCCGGCGAGGCTCCCTTCGCCTGGAAATATGCCCGCGCCCCGGCGGCCGCCTCTCGCGCCCATCGGCGCCAAGTTCGTGAGCCTGCACGAATGCCCGGCCGGCCGTGTTCCCACGTCAAGCACCCGGGCCGGGGGGTGCCGGACCTGCCCATGGCGCGCCACGCGCTTCATATCTCCCCGCCGCGGCTCCCCGCATCGGCGGCCCTTGATATAATGATGCGGGTGTCCTCCGTCCGCCGGGCGGGGGGGGGGGGGGCGATGCCTCACCGAGCCTGGTCGGCCGGGCACGGGGGGACGCCTGCCAACGGGGCCGGCCCGTGCGGGGAGAGGGGCCCAGCTGCACGGCAGGAGCCAGGCCGTGTGTGTGTGTGTGTGTGTGTGTGTGTGCCGCCCGTCCGACTACCGGTGACGGTCGGCGCGCGTTCCGGCCGCCGGACGTTTTCTACCCTGCCCTTCTTCCAACTGGCCGACCAGCATTCCGCCCCTCCCGGCCGGGCCGGGGCGACCTGCAGCCGGTGGTAGTTGCTGCCCGAGCCGAAGACCACGCAGGTCCCCCCCGCCCCCGGGCCCTCGGCTCGTTCGGGTCGTCACCGGCAAGCGGGGGGGGGGGGGATCCCCGGGGGCGGCGAGGCAGACCGGGCCCTCGCCGTCTTCCCCGGAGAGAGAGAGCGAGAGAGAGAGACACACACCCCGGCTCGCACTTCACGGGGCCCTACGGTGCCTTGCACCATTATTGTTTCTTTTCACGCTCTGGCAACCGCGTGCGCCGCCCGTGCCTTCGGCCAGCGTGAGAGCCGCCCGGGCCCTGGCCCACTTTCGGCCCCGTGAAATGAGCAGCGGGAGATCCTCTTGGCCCCTCGGCAGCCGGGGGTACTGGCGGCGGCCCGGCGGCCCGGGGCCCGGCGGAGCACACACACACACACGCACACTAGTTTGGACAAGGCTCGGTCCCCAGGCATGGAAGCCCCGCACCCCCGCCC